TGGGCAGCTAGGGAGACTGGGGTGTGAGGGGAGGGCGGGCGGGTCCGAGCCCCCCGCCCACCCCGGATCCATCCCACCTGTCGCTCCAGGCCCCGGTCCACTCCACGCGGCCCCATGGGTTCCGCAGCCGCAGCAGCCGCACCTTGGTGAAGCCCAGGGACACCTGAGGACGGCATCATCCGTGGGCGGTGGTGCCGAGGCACCCCTGTAGCCCGTTCGCGGGGGATACTCACCTTGTATGTGCCCGTGACTGAATACGCGTGTCCCTTCACCAGCCCGTCTTCGGTGCGGTACTCGCCCCGATCACTCTGGGCGGAGGACAGGGGATGCTGAGGCCACGGTGGGGGGACAAGAGAGTGGCTGCTCCTCTCTGCCCCCCCCACCCCCTTCTCCTGCCACCACAGCAGGAGTCAACCAGAGCTCCAAGAGGGCGTCAGATGGGGGAGTGAAGGAGAGAGGGGAAGGAGAGAGAGGAAGAGGAAGATGAGACAAAAATACTTGGAGAGGACAGAGACGTAGACAGAGAGAAAGATGCAGGCCAGAGACTGAAGGAGGCAGAGAAACCCAAAGGACCGGGAATCAGTAACTGAGCACAGGATTAAGCAAATGAATGAGTGAAGGAATTAGACCAATTCAGCGAATGACTATGTGATGGGGTCACAGATGAACGTATGACTCAAGCTGAGCCCACGAAAGTCAATCCTAAGACTTTCGCTGAAATTCTCAGAAAGAGGCTTTGCCTTAAAAAAAGCGGGGGCGGGGGCGGGCGCCTGGGTGGCTCAGTCGGTTAGGCCTCCGACTTCAGCTCGGGTCATCGGCTCAGGTCATGATCTCGCGGTCCGTGAGTTCGAGCCCCGCGTCGGGCTCTGTGCTGTCAGCTCAGAGCCTGGAGCCTGTTTCAGATTCTGTGTCTCCCTCTCTCTCTGACCCTCCCCTGTTCATACTCTGCCTCTCTCTGTCTCAAAAATAAACAAACATTAAAAATTTTTTTTTTTTTAAAAACCACTTAAATAATAATAAAAACCGCTGGGGTGGTAGGAGGGACCCGCAGTTGTGGGAGCCCTTCGGAGCCCATGAGAGGAATGCCCGCCCAGGAATGAAACTAATCCGGAACCAGGAATAGAAAAACACATTCTCAACATCCACTGGATGAGCACCTGGATTCAGCTGTGCCTGAAGCCCGTTTGGTTATGAGAGCAAATACATTTCCTTTTGACTTGCCGGAGTTGGATGGGTGAGAAAGACCAGCCAACAGTGAACAGAACAGAGAAGAAGGCACAGGAGCCCACCCCCCCCCCACCCCTCTCAAGCCCTGACTGTGCCCTGGTCCTGATGGGGGTTCCCATGGGGGTCTGACTCTCTCACCAGGGCAGTGGCGCCCACGAGGGACTCCTTGGCCAAGGCATGGCGCAGGGCAGAGAAGAGGCCTGGGGTGTCTCGCCTCAGGTAGAGTACCTCGCCCACGCCGCCTGTGAAGTCCACGAAGGCCTCATTCATGTGGCCGCCTCGCATCACCTCATAGGAGCCGTGGAGCCTGTGGGGGCAGGTCCGGGGTGGGAACGTCTCGGGCATGTAGGAGCATCTCACGCGCCGTCCCCGCCCCGGGACCTGGGGTCCCCTGGGGTGTGCGGGTCCAGGGGGCCAACCCTGACATCTGCAGACTCCCAAGGTGGGTAGGGGACTGTGGCACAGTCTGGAAGCCCTTGGAGATTGGACCTGTGGTCCCTGGGCCACAGGACTGTGTGATGTGGGAGATCACAGGAGACCTCTGCCAGAATTCTGGGCATCCCGGGAGCCGTGTCTGAAACTCTGAGTCTCCGGGAGATGTCTGCGTTGGGGGTGATCTCCATGGGGCTTGTGGGGGATTTCAGAGCCACAGCGTGGAGAAAAGCAAAGATCGAGGGTTCCATGGACTCCACTCAATATTTGGGAGGTGCTTTGGGCTTCCCAGTATAGTAGGAGAGATTTTTTTTCTGGATTCTCAGGTCCCCCAAGGGGGGAGATCTTAGCTCTGGTGGCTCCAGGGCCCGAGAGAGGAGATTTCAGGCTCCTGAGGAATTGCGAGTGTTGGTGGGTCTCTAGGAACGTTTTGTGTGAAATGTGGCTAGAGGGAGGTATCGATAATTTGGAGGCCCTCAGGGGATGGTGTGACCTCAGGGGCCTGGGAGCCGTGACGTGGTTGGGGACCCCTGGCGGGCTGTGTAGAGGGTCCCAGCCGTCCGCCTCCGGGGACCCCTTGTGGGGTGGGGCCTGCCAGCCGGGACGTGTGCTGGGTCCTTACTTGGCATAGGCCTTTTCCAGGAGCGGGGCCCAGAACTCGTTCCGCTGATCCGAGCGCACGAACATCAGCTTCCCGTCACGCACCGGCAGCCTGTCGTCCACCACGACGTCCACCCAGCGGCCAAACTGCCAGAGCTGGTGAGAGAAGGGCAGGGTCCAGGCTTCCAAGGACCCCACCCTCCGACCCCAAGCCCTGCCGCACCGGCCCGTGAATTACAGCCCCAAGGGGACAGTGTCAATGTCACCGTGGGGGAGACTGAGGCATGAACAGAGGTCCTGAGCTTTACCTGGAAGTGGAAGACACCTGCGTAGCCCCCTTGGAACCCCTGTCCAGGGGGCACCACCCGGCACAGGAGCCGGGGATACAGAGTGAGGGAGGCAGCGGCCGCAAGAAACCAGCAGTTACCTGGGGGGAGAGATGAGGACTGGGGGAGCCTGGAAAGAGGGAGACTGAGGCGTGGGGAGAGGAGAGCCTGAGGGGGAGACCCAGGGGCCGAGCCGGCAGGGTCCCAGCTGCAACTTGCCGGCTCTGGCGGCCCCAGAGGGGTTCGGTGGTCTTACCTAGACGCCCCTGACACACGTCTGTTCGGCTCATATCCTCACAGATGAACTGGGGCTCGGCGCAAAACTCCTGGGGGGGTTGGGGGATTCCAGGCCTCAGCCAGGAAAGGGAGGGAAGGAGCAACTGAGAGGTCCGATGCCTGGGTCCCCTCCTGCCCTCGCTGCTCCAGGGCAATGAGCGCCTCCAACCCCGGGAGAGGCTTGTAAAGCCCGTGGACAGGGATTCGGCTTCCCTGGGCCTCGCCAGACCCGGGAGTCACGACAGCCAGCCCTCCTCCTCGTATCCGGGGCTCCCAGTCTCCTCCTCCCTCAGACCCAGGGGCCCAGCCCCCACAGCCCCCTCCTCCCTCGGACCCAGAAGCTCAGCACCCCGACAGCCCCCTCCTCCCTCAGACCCAGCGGCCCAGCCCCCACAGCCCCCAGCCACACATTACATGGGGCCTCAGCCATTCCACCCCTTTGGCCTTCTCCGAGTCCGGCCCCAGCTCATCGTAGCCAAGGGCATCGGGGCCAGCAGGGAAGTAAGGATCGCAGAACAGGATTCCCTCATCCAGGCAGGCTGCTCGGATTGCCTCGTATCTCTGGCCCCGAAAGGGCTTCGGGCCCCTGGTTCCAGGCCCTGCCTCCTCGTCCACCAGCTGGATAGTGACCCTCCTGCTGCCACACGCCATCGGGACACTCTGGGCTCCCAGGCTGGCCCCCGGGCCCTTTAACCTCCTGAGTCATGGGGGTGGGGCCTCCCCTCCATCAGAGCTCCGATGGGGGTCTTTAGGCAGCAAGGAGCCTTCCCTTGTTAATACTAATTGATGGTTTGGGGTGCTAGGCAGCGGGACGCCTCTTCTGTGGTTTCCTCCCCAGGGCGTGGGGCCTTCAGTTGTGGCTGGGCCAGAAACTTAATGGGCTTGGCCAACAGCAGGAGGGAAGGCGGGCAGAGCTGAGGGACAGAGAGTCCTGGAAGGAGGTCAGTGCGGGGGTGTGTTTCTGCCATCTCGTCCCTGCCTCTCCCTCTGTGGAGCTGGGGCCGCAGGGGTGAGGAGGGCGGCGTGTTTATCCTGCGTGTCTCCATCTCTCCTCGTCTCTCCATCAGACGGTTTCTCTCTCTGCCGTGGTGTCTCTCTTCTCTGTCTCGGCCTCACTGTCTCTGTCTCTGTCCATCTCTGTTGTCTCCTTTTGTCTTCCTCTGCTTTTATTTTCGCTGTTGTTGTTTTTAGCTCTGTTTTGGTTTTTGTCACTATATCTGTGTCTCTGTCTGTATCTCCCTCTGTCTCCATCCCTCTCTCCGTATCTCTTTGGGGGTGTCTCGTTCTCTCTGTACCTTCTGTCTGGTGCATGCCTCCCGGTCCGTCCCTCACCACCCTTTTCTCTGCCCCTGTAGCTTCTCAAGTCACCCACGGTGGACCCCAGGCCCCCTCTGGCTCACTCCTCCTGGGCCACCAGGACCCTGTCTCCCCCTTCCCCGACACGGCAGACCTCGGCCTGTTTGCCCCACACAGGGCTGACTGTGGAGGGCCCACTCTGCACCTACCTGCCCCGGGTCGGGAGGTGGGCCCACCGTGACCGTGACCGTGACCAGTGACACCCCACCCTACCCACGCGCCGCTCAGGGTCCAGTGGAGCGATATTTCCCCAAAAGGAAGCTGGAGCCTTTGGAAGAAGTGATAGAAATTGGTTCTGAGAGGCCACAAACTCACCAGTCTGGGTCCTGGCAGACTTTTACCCCCAGCGGGGGTCCCCTGCACTGTCACCTCTGTGGCAAGAGATGTCCCTGAGTCCTCAGGCATTCTTCCCTCCGAATGGACCGAAAGACACTGTCTGAGCCCCTGGCTGTGTGGCCACCAAACAGGGATCATAAAACAGGGTACTGTCCTGTAGAATTGCCAAGGCCACCCCCTCCCTCCCCCCACCCCCCGCCATGTGAGGCAGGTGACAGTGGTTTGGAACACCTGCCAGGGTTAAGAGCCAAGGGGCTGGGGTTCATGCCACTTACAGACTGTGTGTCTTGGGCAAGTCACTTAACCTCTCTGTGCCCCAGTTTCCTCATGTCTACAACAGGAACGATAACAATAGGACCAACGTCAGAGGGTTGTCGTGAGAAGCAAATGAGTGAACCCGAGGGACATGTTCAGAGCAGCACCTGACACGTGGATGCTCAGGAAACAGCTGTTCCCAGTGCATCTGAGGCCCCCATTCCCACCGAGAGGTCACAGCCCTTTCCCCTGTTTGCCCCCCAAGTACTACTACTAACAGTAGGAGGAAGCATTGAATAAAACCTGACACCTGGCAGTGAGCAGGAAACTGCCTGTGGAGACTGCCTGTCAGATCACAGACCGTTCGCCACCTGCCCGGCCCCTCCTGGCCTCCGTCCGCAGGTCCCCGCAGGTCCCCGCTGGCCACAGCTCTTCCTAGCTCCCTGCCGGCTGCCTGCCCTGGTGCAAGGCTCTGATCACATCCCACGAACAAGAGTTCGCTTGATTCTCCATCTCCCTCCTTACGTCCAGGGTCCCAGATACGCCTTCCCCCGCCAACGAAAGAAAAACGCATTGATGCCAGAGTCCTCCTGGACGTCTGTTGCTTTGGGAGCCGAGTATCCTCCACCGCTTTTTCTGGAATCGGCACCCCCAATACGTTTTGGGGATCCAAGGGTCCTTTAGTCTCAAGCCGTCTGGCTCCAGGACGGCTGGCCCCTCCCCCTAGCTCCGGGGAGGGGCGTTTGACCCAAACCAGCCAATCGGAGCAGCGCAGCCCTGGCCACACCCCCTGCTATTCCTGGGAGACTCGGGACTTGTGGCTTCTCTTTCTCTGGGGCCGCGAAGCTGGCGGGAGGGAAACCCCGAGCAGCCAGACTCCACCTCGGCCACCTTTGTCCTGAGACCCGTCCTGAGAATGAGGACAGCGCTGAGCAAAGCACCTCCAGGCGACAGGGAAAGATTCCATGAGCATAGTCTCTCAATGCGGATGTGCTTGAAGCCAGACTTTTACATTCAAGGAGCCAAGAAATTCTGCCCCTCTCTTTTCCCCAGTTTTAATTTCAATTTAACGGTCTTTTTCTTTGTCGCTAGAAACCAAAAGAAACCTTTCCAATTTTCCGGGCATGATTTCTGCAACCATGCCCAGGACACTAATTCCCTATGGAGTAAGAGTTCAGGTACTAGTTTCCTCCATTTCTACCCCTTACATAACCCGCAAAGTGTTCTTGCTTCACCAAGTTAGGGCTGCACTTGAGCC